CTTTTGAGTTGCCCACAGTTTTGAAAACAGATTTCAAAATATTGAAAATAATGAAAAATCTCCAAAATATTACACCTTGGTTAAAACTGAGTAAATCACCCTTAAAATGCATATAATTATGTACTTTTCTGAATAAGTAATTTGTTGTTCGCATTAAAAAAAAACGTTTTTTTTTTGTGACACGCTGTCTCGGGCCTGTAAAACCCGGTCCGAGAGCCGCGAAACCAATACCCCTCCCCCTCCGTACGTTTAAAATAATTATCGGATCGAAGTAAAAACCACATTTATGTTAATAGCTTACCTAGTGCTACTTTGTGAATTGTTTTGAGAATTTTCGATCTTTCACTTTTGTAGACCTCTGGTCGATATTTACTGACATCTGCTTTTAAAGCATTTAATTTTACGTTCCTTTCCGCTTCCAAGATAGCAAAGACCGTAATCAAAACTCCTTTTCCACTTAGATTAGGAGAACGTTTCATGTTTAAAATAATATCAGACAGGGTCAGAAACTAGTGCTGCCAATAAACAAGCCGTTTTATTCCTCACGCATTACATAAAAATCTCAAAGCTCTTTCAATATGTAATGGAGATAGAAAAAATGGAAAGAAAATAACCATAATCTAGATAAAAAGTAATAATTCAAATTCTTCAGTATTAAACATGAAATACTACTTGTAATGACACTTTAGTAAAATCCAACTAGTGGTCTATCATCAACGCTGCGTTCTGTTTGGTTGAGCTATTACCAGGCTATATGTTATAGCCCACTAGTAGCGAAAAGCGCGGGCTTTTTGGCGGCAAAAAATGATTAAAATCTAGCTTTAACTAGCTAAAGGTTTTTTATTCTCGATATTTTTGACCAACTATTTGGATTTAACTAAAACAATTATTCCTCTCGCCCTCATGGCCTCCGAGTCAATAGCCCATACGGCCTTCGGCCTCATGGGCTATTGACTTAGAGCCCATTCGGGCTCGAGGAATAATTGTTAATTATTCACATAACCTAACAGGCATATCCCCCTGTTATATATTTAGTATACGTCTTCCACCCACATAACACCAGGTATGATTCCAAACTAAATTTTTAAATGCCAAATGTAAGAACCAATTATGGCAAACACACTTTTTTCCGCCATTGCCAAAATTTGGAAGGAGATTCCTACTAGCATGAAGACTCTTGGCTATTTTCAATTCAAGAAAAATTACAAAACATTTTTATTAAACTCACAATAACATGAAACATGCTTAAGTAACTAACCTTCTCTAGTTAGCTTTGGCACTTAGTCTATATTTTATATTCCCTGTAAGCGGTGGTCAGCTCGAAAGTTCTGCTCCTGTCCACCGTACACTTCTGCAAAAAGCCATTTTATTTCAGCCTATTCCAATTTCCCCTAATTTCACCTAACTTGTAAAGTAAATAATACTTGAAGTGTAAATAAAGTTGAAAGATGAAAGTCTTGCACAACATGTGCAACAAGAATTGGCTTGGAATTTTAGCCAGTCAGAAACAGAGAAATATTTTAAATGAATAACAAAACAGTAAAGGGGTTGGTTTACCAGAGTTGTCGCTGCAGAGCTTTGTTTCCTCAATACCTCAATACTTTCGAGAGGAAGTAAGAATTTAATTCTATAAGAACCTCTTCTATAAAGGAACCTGTTTAGTCTATATTTATAGCAGTTTCTATTTTCTAAAATCGACTAAAATGATACGTACACATGTGGACAAATAAGATAAATGAAAATTTTAATGTCCTCTTCTCTACCTTGTAAATGCCAATGTTGAAAATAAAGTATCTTAAGTTCTGAAGGAGGAATTCAAAATTTATTTGATCCTCGTTTTAAAAACACTTGCTTTATATAAGAAAGAGACTGAATAGCACCAAATTCTATTCAAGCCTAAACTTGTACTAATTACCATTTGTATATGTCAGAACGTGTTTGGTCTATCTTGGAAAAGTGAAGGTTCTTATACTTGAGAGTTTTTACTGTAGTTTCCATTGTAATAGTAGTACTTAATAATATACTTCATTGATTCAGGCTAATACTATGCACCACTTTACGTCAGTTGATGCTGCTAAGACGTCCTTGTGTCAGTTTTATTGGTTTTTGAAAATGGCTGAAATACTTTTGAAGCATTCTTCAGCTGAGGGGCGTTTTTCAGGATCCTCATTCCAACACTTCTCCATTAGCTCTTCCCAGCGAGAGTCAGGTTTTAGACAACATTTCAAAGGTTTGGGACGACCACCATCATCTACCATCCTAAAGAAAGCATCTAATGCTAATTCGGTTCCGGCGAAGGCTTGTTCTCCGTACCATATCTCCCACAACAATATCCCAAGACTGTAGATATCTGCTTTGCTGTTATACACCTGGGATTTGATCACTTCTGGTGCGATGTAGGCAGGGCTTCCAGCAAGGGTACCAGTAAAGTCTACTGCTGTTTTTGATATGCCAACGCCTGTAACTTTCACAGAGTTTTCCTCTGACAGCTTCAAAGAAAAAGAAATCGAACTTAAAAAGGAGGATTACTTGCTTTTCACTACTAATACCTTTTTCGAATCAGAAACGAAGTTCAAGTTTTCAAAGATGGCTAGGCCCGAGGAAATTACTCACACTATGCTTTCGTTGAATCCCTCAACCTCCTTTTTTCCCAGGCTAGACTCAGTTTAAGAATTAAAAAAATACGAAAAACTGTTTTGTTTTGTTTTTTTTTTTTTCTCGAAAATGGAGAACGTAGTGGACTAATTTGGGAACTTTATCTGGTGTCTTTTCAACAGTCACAGGCTGTCTTATGTGCATTAAATGGATTAATAGTAGATAATAGGTTTAAACTATATTACCTATTTTGACTATATTACCGCTGAGGCATCAAAGAAACCTTACGTCCTCAGACTATTAAAGAGAGCTGGCGGGAAGAACAAGACATGTTGAAAGTTGTAGTGTTAGTTCGATTTTAGAATATGCCGTGCAGGTGTGGCAAGACATTCCTGACTATCTGTAAGATAGAATAGCTATAGAGTCCGTGCAAAAAAAGGGCACTTAAAATCATATATCCTAACAGTTCGTACAGTCAAGCAATGTCACTAGCCAACGTAACTACACTTGCCAACAGACCCGTGCTCCTAGGTCCTAACTTCATGGCTCATGGCAGACACAATGAACACCCATTATTGTGCTTGGTGTCCACTGCTGAACAAAGAACTAATCCTTATAACCTTAGACCTGGTTCCTCTCGACCACTGAAAAAGTTCATGAGAACTAAGAGATCAGAGAGCTTTTTTACTTTTTAAAAATATTCGTCATTTAAGTATCCGCCATGATTATCATTTTAAGTAGTTTTTTTAAGTAGTACAATTGATACATTTGTTAGTCATAACCGCTTGTTAATTCAGTTATCTGCAAGAGAGTGGAATAAGCGATATTTATTTATTTGTTTATTTATTCAAACCCTAGCTGTATAAATGGGGGATTCAGACGTTTAAGTAAGTGGAAGAGCTGCGCATCTAAACCCAAAGAAAAAAGAAAGAGGGACCCGGCTTCAAAAATTTTTTTATGGGTCTTGCGGTCTCCAGATTGGCCTTAAAATGAGGTGAAGACCAGGGCCCTCTCAGATCCGCCACTCTATATATACGTAACAAGAATTCGTATAGACGGACAGTGATTAAACATTATAAACAGCGTTGTCGAACGGGAGACTATTCCTAGCAGACATTCACTAAGAAAAAAGATTAGTCATATAAGGAACAAGTCAAGCCGGAAGATAAATGTTTTTACGTAGGTCATGTTATGCACCATCCTAGCAAGGACTCGTATAAGAGTTATCGGTTTCAGAAGAATGGGCAAAATGACTAAATTATGCTGAATCTAAAAAGAAGTGAAATATTTGTCAGTGTTCTTATCACTGACTTAAATTATGAGTCGACTATTTTAGGAAGAGAGAATCGACGTTAAAAAAAGCATTCAATACATTCACAACAGTTGACTGCGAGTGCCAAAAAGATGCTACCTTCGGAGTAGATGAGGTCGAAAACGTCCTTCAACTGGATTGATCCGCCTGTATTTATTCCCCAGCATAGGTAAATGCATTTGCTTCTTTAAAAAATGATTTATTTGACAGACTTCTTATCACAGTTAAAGCGTGTGTTTGTTTCTTTTCTTTTCTTCAGATACGCTATAAACACAAATATGCCGATATCTTCTTATATAAAGGGTTTTTAACGTTTACTACGTACTGACTTGATAAGGTTCTACCCAGTGCTGGTGTAAACTGAACTTAATACTTAATTTGCTGTCATACACTTATAACTACTGGATGAGCGACACCTAAGGATCTCGCTGTACACTTCTTTTGAACAAAGAACAAACCAAAAAACGCAATTTTGCATCTTACCATTAGGAAAAAAAGACCTAACGTCACTCTTAAACATCAACAATAGCTACTGTAACCTTTGCAGTTCTTAGAGACAACCTTTTATATACCTGTTGTTTTATTGTAAAATTTATACATCCTACATATTTTGATTGTAGGTAGATTGATGGAATTGGATTAAATCTTTTTGAACTTTTATTGCTACTCATGCAGAGTTTCATACCTCTTGCGAAGCGATCGTCGGGCAATTGATGATACATTCTATATTTCTCATTTGTAAATAATTAGTTGTGAAAACTAAATAAAATTTGGCACACTAAAAAAGCTCGTACGTACACTCAATTACCAAGATGTTATCTATCTTGAGGTCTCTGTGGACAATCCCTCGTTCATGAATGTATGCCACGGCATCAGTGATTTCATTGACCCATTGATAGACTTTTCGTTTGAACTAAATTAGCGCTTACAAATATGAAATTATGAGCATAAATTTAAGTATATACAAAGTCATCTTTTCTAAAATTACAAGTGGATGCAGACGGGGACTGGGACTGAGCATGACTGAGTAAGGACGTGTGATTGTTAGCTCCGTAACTTTTGTTGTACTCTTCCATGCGTTCTGATATTTTTTATGGAATTTTCATCGCCACTTTCATCTCTGTTTAAACGGAAAACGAGAGGGAGTAATTCACCGACCAGCGAGACCATTTCCCCCGAAACGAAGCGGTTGAAAGAGAGTGTGAAAGAAGACGAAGCGAACGCTCCACCCGCCATTGTATCGCCACCAAAGTCGAAGAACGATTCTGAAGACGTAGTTCTGTCTGCCCTCAATATGGCACAAGATTTCGCCTCCAAAGTGGACTTAATATTATCAAAGTTAAGTCAACTGGAAAATATCGGCACACAAATAAATGTTTTACAGGACTCTGTGGATCGAATAAACCAAACGGTCGCAAACCTTCAAAGCGAATTCCACCGCTTAAAGGAAGACGTACGAAATACAGTCGAAGAAACAAATACGCTTAAAACAAGCGTAAAATTCCTGAATGATGAAGTGGAAACCAGTAGGAGAAAACTCCGAGATGACGAAGAGAAGTCACGACAGGAGTTGGATCACTTGCGTCTCCAACTCTTAAATTATGAAGTGTACAGCCGCCGCGAAAATCTTCGTTTCTACGGCATTCCAGAAATCGAAGGGGAAGAGAATACTGAACCCGTTTTGAAAGCTTTCTTGGAGAAAGAGTTAAATGTGGAAAACGCCCAATCTATTGAGTTCCAAAGAGTCCACCGCGTCGGTAAAAAGGACCGAAACACAAGAAAACCCAGGGCCATCATAGCACGCTGTCTTCGCTTTAAAGATCGAGAAAACCTCTTTTCTTGCCGACGCAACATCGATAGCCAGTCGAATTTTGGTATTGGCCCAGATCTACCTAAGCAGGTGATTGATATGAGGAAGAGGCTTATTCCGAAGATGGTACAAGTAAGAAAAGATGGAAAACGGGCAGCCTTCAGTAGAACGGAACCCTATAAACTCTTTATTGACGGTGTGGAGGTAAAATCATAAATAAATAGGTTCCAGGTTATTTATTTTTAGAATTCGCAGGAAGTAGTTCACTTCTTATTTTTTTCGTTTCTATTGGGAGCTATCGATTAGCATATTCCTTAGTTCTCTTCTGAAGTTCGATTTAAACAAAAGTATAACACTTGATCTCGTCCAGGCGTAGCTTCAACAGTTTAATTCTTTACACTGGCTACGTTTTTCATCTCGTTTCTTTTGTTTTGTTATGAATGTTATTCTATATTTATTCAGTTTGCACTTGACAAAATCAGGAATGCGTTAATTGTTCGAGTAACAGTGACCCTTCTGGGAATAACAGCTACTGTTGTTGTCTTTTTTCCACTACACGTATGCAAATTTCAATGGATTTCAACAACTTAAAGTTTAAAACTCTTTCGCTGAACGTTCGGGGTATCCGTTCTTTTGAAAAACGTAAGTCCATTTTCAACTGGCTATACCAGCAAAATTCAGACATCTGCTTTCTGCAGGAAACTTACAGCACTGAAGAGGTTGAAAATCAATGGAAAAAGCAGTGGTCCGGGGACATTTACTTTGCTCATGGCTCTAACCATAGTCGTGGGGTCGCCATCCTTATACGTAAATCCTTTGACTTTAAATTGAAATCAATTCGATCGGATGAGGATGGGAGGTACCTCATTTTAGAGACAACTATTCAAGATGTTCCATTCCTTCTGATAAATATTTACGCTCCCAATACCACCACTAAGCAATCGTTGTTCTTCCAAACATTGTCTGAGCTTATCTATGATGAGGGATACAATGATTTTGACTACAAAATTATATTAGGAGGGGATTGGAACGTAACTATGGACCCAGACCTAGATTGTTCGGGTGGAAACCCTGTGTTAAAAGACTCAGTTAAGTGTGTGGAGGACATTATGCTGAATTATGATTTAGTTGACATCTGGAGAATCCGTAACCCTAATAGCAAGAAATTTTCTTGGAGACAAAAAAGCCCAATTATTCAAAGACGCCTTGATTATTGGCTCATTAGTGACCTATTACAAGATGACGTAGCTAAAGTCGACATAGTGACAGCTATAAGAACGGATCACCATGCAATAACTTTAGAAATTGACAGTCTAAATGATCAGCAGCGTGGCCCATCTTTTTGGAAGTTCAATAACAGTCTCTTGGATGACGCTTTTTTCGTTGAGCGTTTACGCGAGAACTTTCCTAAGTGGATAGACGAAATTAATTTTTGCGATGATTCGAGAATTAAATGGGACTGGATGAAATACAAAATTCGAGGGGGGAGAGTATATCGTATAGCAAACTGAAAGCTAGAGAAAGGAGAAATAGAATTCAAACAATTGAAAACAGGCTTAAAATATGTGAGGAAAAAATAGCAGCATCACCGACGCAAGAAAACCTTGCCAACCTCGAATCGGTCAAAACAGAATACGAACAAGAGTATGATTACATTGTAAGAGGCTCAATCATTCGTTCCCGCGCTACATGGTTTGAACAAGGGGAAAGAAACAACAAGTATTTTCGGAATCTGGAAAACAGAAATAAGAAAAAAAGCTGCATACGGAAACTTATTCGAGCAAATGGAGAAGAGACTACTGTTCCGGACACTATTATGACTGAAATTCACAGTTTTTATTCTGAACTTTATGACGAAAAGTCGGGAATACAAACTGACTATTCAATTTGTCCTTTTCTGGAAGATACCCTCTCATCTCCTAAGTTAACCGACTCAATGCGGGAAACGTGCGAGGGTCAATTAACATATTCCGAATGTTTCAAGGTTCTGTCTACCTTTAGTAACGATAAAACTCCTGGAAACGATGGGCTCACTATAGAATTTTACAAGTTCTTCTGGTCAGAAATCGGAACATTTCTAGTGGACTCATTAAATTATGCGTATTTTCATGGTGAATTATCACATTCGCAAAAGCAAGCCGTAATAACTTTAATTGAGAAAAAGGACAAAGATAGGAGATGGATAAAAAACTGGAGACCGATTTCTCTGGTAAATGTTGATGTTAAAATTGGCTCAAAAGCTATCGCTAAAAGGCTAGAAAATGTCCTACCACATATTATCCATTATAACCAGAATGCCTTTGTAAAAGGACGAACAATTTTTGATGCAACTCGTACGATAAACGATGTGTTGGAATTTACTAAAATGCGAGACTATCAAGGTATAATGACTGCAATTGATTTTGAGAAAGCCTTCGATTCTCTAAATTGGAACTTCCTCCACAAATCGCTAGAGTTCTTTGGCTTTGGAGAATCCTTCTTGGGGTGGATCAAGACGTTTTATAATAATATATCAAGTTGTGTTTTCAATAATGGTTTTTCCACCCCCTCTTTCAATGTTAAACGGGGTGTTCGCCAGGGCGACCCACTCTCGCCATCTCTTTTCATAATAGTACTTGAATTATTGGCATTATCCATACGTAATAACGATCAAATTAAGGGTATTGAGGTGGATGGTTCCGAAATCAAATTAGTTATATTCGCTGATGATATGACATCATTTGTTAGGGACAAATTTTCGCATCGCACCCTTTTTGATACTATCGATCTGTTTAGTACATACTCCGGATTGAAGGTCAATCACGACAAAACGGAAATTCTTCTACTAGGAAATATGGAAGTAAACAGCTCAGAACTAGGTGTTAATGAAATAAGTAAGGCCATAAAGATCCTAGGGGTTCATTTCACCTTTAATCACGCACTGTTTTATAAGCTTAACTTTGAATCAATCGAGAAAACTCTGAGGGGATTGCTGAAGGGCTTGAGCTGGAGAGGTCTTACACTACTTGGAAAAATTCAAGTGATCAAGTCTTTCGCCATACCAAAGATTTTATACAGGGTTGTTCTCATTTCAAATAAAGAAGAGTTTATCAAAAAAATAAATACTTTGCTATATTCCTTTGTTTGGAAGGGAAAAGATAAAGTAAAGCGCAGAGCTTTTATTAACCCTATTGATAAAGGAGGCTTGAAAATGCCCGACATTGAGTCAATGATCTCTGCCCAAAGAATAATTTGTATTAAGAGATATCTCTCCATTGATCCCGCTGGCTGGAAGTTTTTTCTGGATTTTTATCTTAAGAAAGTAGGGGGAAAATTCTTGTTTCATTGCAATTTTAACTACACTAAACTACCGGTAACTCTTCCAGAATTTTACAAAGAATGCATTGTGGCGTGGACCCTTTTAAATGAAGACAACCCCTCCTCATCCTCTGAAATAGCAAATCAGGTCATATGGAACAACCAGTTCATTTGCATTGAATCAAAGTCAGTCTATAACAGTAGGCTGATTGATCTTGGAATTGTAAAAATTGGAGACCTCTACGACACGTGGGGAGGTTTCAAGTCGAACAAGGAACCATTATATTCAACTCTCTCACCAGTTGAACATTTTCTACTTTTCAGTCTCTTCAATGCTTTTCCTGAAGAATGGCGCAAAATATTAAAAACAAATAAAAACTCTATCTCTTCAAAAACTCATGATCTAATCCAAACTGATTTCAAGTTACGTATTGAAGGGAAAAAAGTCAATTTCCAAAATCTTAAATCAAAGTCATTATATGACAGTTTTGTTTCTAAGATATCCAGTATACCAACAGCGCAGGAGAAATATAACGAAGCTTTCAGCACACACACATTTCAGTTGGACTGGGAAAAGATATATCTACTGCCCTTCAAAACAACATTGGATACTAGATTAAGAGAATTCCAATATAAAATATTAAACAGGATCTTATACACGAACAAGATGCTGTTTAAGTTCAAAAAAGTAGATTCTCCCTTGTGCGATTTCTGTGAAAAGGAGTTGGAGACCATAGAACATCTCTTTTTCCATTGTACAAAAGTAAGCATGTTTTGGAACGATTTAAAGTCTGTACTTGATTCTTTTAATATAACTATTAGGTTTGATATCATGAATGTCCTTTTTGGGATCTTAGATACAGATAATATAAGCATTCTAGTCAATTACATCATTCTTGAAAGCAAATATTTTATTTACCGCTGTAAGTTAAATAAGGGCTGTTTATGTGTAAGACTGTTAGTCGATAAATTTAAAAAAACGTTTCAAACCGAACGTTTTATCGCGAAAAGAAACAACAAAATCCATTTCCATGATAAAAAATGGAAGCCGTTACTCCCATTAATACAACAGTAGCTGTTATCCAAACTTCGTTTTTCTAATACTCCCTGTATTACTCTGGCCCCGGTTCCTGGAAAGCCGATTAAACTGTCCTCCGATTAGCGTCAAATCCACGATTAATTTTCTTATTCCTTGGATAACTAATCGTGGGTTAAAAAGGAGTTCCTGAAAGCGAAATAAACCCACGATTAACTAATCCGAGATTAGTGTTAAAATAAACCGGTTTAACTAGTTTTTGGGATGATTACTTTTAAAAAATATGGCGCGAAAAATGATTAGGCACGGGTGAAGTAAAGGAAAATGGCGGAAAATGAAGTGGTCTAGGTTGAACCAAAGGACAAGAAGAGGAAACCGAAATTCTTCATCTACCTAGAAATAATTGGCCCAGTTTTTATAACATAGTCCTTATATTCAATCCGCAGTCCACAGTCCATGTTTTATAATGACCAAATTTATTACATGAAGTAGTAACCACCTTGGCAACTGCCTATGTTTTCTCCTCGTCTTTCTCTCGCGGTCGTTCTTGAGGATTTCTACCAAATATTGAATTGACTCTCGGCCAAACCTGTTTTTGCTGCAAAGCTCTTCATCAGTGAATTGGTCGAGATTAATTTCTTGCTGTCGGAACTTTTTTTCACGTATTTGAGGCAACGGTAAGTCCGCCATTTTGTTTGTTTTACAAACGTTTTCACCCGATTAGTGACTTAATCGACCTCGCTTGGTGGGTTAAAATTAACACTTAGTTTATTCCTAGATTAAGGTTAATCATACTTTCAGGAACAGGATCTAATCGTGGGACAAAATGTATTCCGCGATTAGCGAGATTTAATCCTCGATTCGCGCTAATCGGCTTTCTAGG